ACCCGATCAGCTGAACTTGAGATACTGATCAAAGTATATTTATTTTATAAGTAATTCGACTCGCCCCAAGCCGTTTAGTTTTTGTTATTTTTACCCTTTTCAGTAAGTCAATAAAAAGTTTTGCTTACTTGACTTGAAATGTTAATAATGATTTAAAATTTAATAGTATAAAAACGCAGCTTGAATTTCGAGCTAACTTTAAGTCAAAAACTCAAACTGCAACATAGACGAGGTATAGAAATAAAGCAATTTATAAAGAAAAAAGTGCATATATGTATGCTTACTAATTCCTACTTTATGAAATATATTACTGATGTATTTTAAAAAATTATAATTTTTGGTTTTATTTCAACATTTAATGTTTTTAAATCGCTTTGCTTTTATAATCATTTATATCATTTTTGCTACCTTGTGTTGGAATGAATTACAGAAAAGGATTTGTTCGCCTTTAAACTGCTTAATATTTGTGTCCCTTTAAAAATACATTATAAATCTATTGGGTACATCTATTGCGTAGTCTTTCCCTAAAAAATCCTATGTATATAAAAATGAAAACAAGAATGTATACTGTTTCACTCTTTTAACTAAGGGAATTTTTTGTATACAAATATTGGTAAGCTTTAATATGATATATATCAAAGCAAAGTCGAATTAGATACTTATATAATAGGTATACTTTGTGCACAGACAGAGCGATAGACATACATATCTCTCTAAAAGTAGTTTCTAAACTCGATGGTCGGTAATTATAAATTTTTAAAGGTAAAATAAAGAGTTCGGTCGAATTTTACATGAAAAAATTTTTTAACGGTTTTAGTGAACTTTCCTTCACATCACACAGAAATGGTTTTGCTACAGCGAGAACTTATTAGAGATAAGTCATCTCGCTGTAGCAAAAGGCATGATAATTTAGGATTTTACATATAAAGTGAGATATGTGGTGTCCTTCTTAGCCTGGTGAGAATTGACATTGTTGCAGATTTATCGTTTCTTGTATGAAAGTGAGAGTATAGTTATTTTTAATATATTGTAAGTGGCGAAACGTGATTTGCTTAATTAAATAACAATCCAAATATTATCTCGCAAAATGTTTAATTAAACCTTAAAAGAAATTCAAATTGGAAGATCGAGAACATTATATTTTCATTTTATAATAATTTTGGTTCATTTTTTGAACATTTTATCATAATTTTGGTTACATTTTAATAAAGATGCTAATAATTTATTGCAATTAATTTTAAATAACTTACAAAAATGCAGATTGTAATGTTACTCTTTATTGAAATTATCGCATTCGTTTAGAATAGTTTAAATAGATTATGAAAATTTGTACAGTTTTAAATAAAAAGCTCGGCTATCCACAATGTACGTACATATAATTTAAAATATCATACGAGTAACTAAAAATGATGTCAGTTTAGAGAAATTTAATATTATTTATCAAAATAATATTTCGATAGACACAGTAGACAACAAGGGTTACTTACTATGACCATGAATTATAATTATGGGTTGCATGATCAACCGCAAAGGGCATGTGAAAATGAGAAGACTGAAAGATAAATTAAAGATAAATTAACATTATTTCACAATAATGTTATCAATGCTTTTCTGAATGAAGACATGGAATTCTGAAGAATTATCAAGTTTTCAAGAATTCCATGTCTTATAAAATAAATTTTTTTTTACAATCCGGCATACTGAAGTACAGAAATATAACAAAAGTATTGTTATTATGATTGATATATTTCTTTTCAGTTCAAAGCATTGAACACTGAAAACTCAAAAGCATGTCTTGTAATTTTTTTCAATAGGTCATTAATTATTATTGAAAATTAATTTCAATTTTTTTTCATTGAACAAAAATTTGTAATTGTATATCATGCCAATAAGAAATCAGTAAATAATACATACTTTATTTTTTATTTATTATTTGAAGTATTTTTTTTTAAATTAGTCAGGAAGTTGAAAATTCTTAATAAGCGTTAAAGATGACATGAAATATAATACAATATGAAATAAAGACATGAAATATAATTACAATATCAAGTTAAATTTTTGAAATTAGACTAAATTGAATTGGTTTGCTTGAATTTTGTCAATTACTTGAAGTTTTTTTTTAAATATTAATTATGTATATTTTTTAAATGGAGCTTGCACAGGTTTCATTCAATTTCAAAACAAAAAAAAACAATTCCTATTTCTATTTCTAACGAAAATTTTGAACATTTTGTCCTTCAAAAATTTGCATCCAATAAATACGTATGTACATAATATTTTTGTAATTATTGTAACTTTTTTAATTCATTCTCACGCTTTTTGATTACTCACTGTTATTATGTTTATTTGTACGTATGTACATATGTACATATATGTATGTATAATTTGATTTTTGATGTTGAACAATCTCTTTTTTAATGTTATGTAATTTTATTTTGCTATGGACCTGGCCCACAAAAAATTTTTTAACGTTTGGTGACTTAAGTTAAAAAAAAAGAGAAAAAAGTTCTGTAAAAAATTATTTCGAAATATCAAAAAAATTTTCTTATGAAATCGCCTTGATAGAAAATAGTAAACAAATAAAAAATGGAGAAAATTGGAATTTTTCTAAAGTTCCAACCCTTATATTCCTATAAGACCTTGAATAACTCTTTCACAAACTGTTTGTTTGAAGCTCCAACTCCACAACAAAAGTTTTACCAATTTGCTCCTGTTATTGGTCTGTTAATGGTCATGTTGCATCGACTACAATTTTGCTGAATGTGCAAGTATAGAACAATCGTGAAATATAATTGTATTATGGAAAGAAATTACCATTAGTAATTAGTTTGCCAAAATTTGCAATTTGAAATTTGTTATTTTATTAAACGCATAATAAAAATTGAATCATTTTTAAAATTTTTCATAGGATGAGTATTTAGGTGGACGCCATGTTAAATTAGATTTCATGAAGATAAAATTAACACCGAAATTAGTTTAGGCGAAGTTCATGTAAGAGTGCACAAATAGACACCTTTGTAATACTAGTTTATTTAGATTTTCCTAAACTAAACTCATTTTAATATACAGAGTTTTTATGAGAAAAATTAGACATGCGAATGTTACACGCAATCCGGTCTCTAAAAATTATTTTTTTTTTTTTATATCAGGAAAATATTTAAATTTACTAAATTATATTAGTAAGCAGTACTATAAATTTAGTTTTACTAAATTTACAGTACTGCTCACATTCAATAAGAGAACTAATTCTTATCTGGAATTATGAAGTTTCCAAAAAAAACATTTAATACCTAAAAACAAATCACGGCAGAGATATTTATATTGCAGAAAATTTTGTCGAATAAAATTAGGATAAGTAAACTATATTAAGAACAACATATTCACTTCAGTAAGTAACAATAAGTAATAATAATCCTAACACTTCATTAAGTAATAACAAGCAATCATATGCCGATCATAATAAAATTTTCCTCTTAATTTTTACGCTTTTTTTTAAACTCAGGTATAAAAAATGTAGAAATAAGATGAATGGCGAATTTGCCAATTTGTCGGCAATTTTCTTAAGCTGGGGATTTCCCTATTTTTTGGTATTAACATATCGTCGGCTGAGTGCTATTTTGATCCGAGAAAATCACGTTTGAAGTTTAACAACACTTTATTTCAAAACTAAACCATGGGATTTCTTGAATTTTTGTTTGTAGTTTTATTATAGTTTTAAGAGTTTGACTATAAAATTTCGTTCAATTTCGATAAAAGGATCGAGAGTTATAGCAAATTAATTAGAGAAGGTAGAGCGCGATTTTGATCCATATCCACTTTTTCGATCAAAAATGCGTTGTGGATCAAAAATTTATGGATAAATAGATCAAAATAGCACAAACTTAAAAAAGAAATTTGCTCTGTATGTCCCATTTATTTCATACACTTGTATTATAAAAATGATTATATCGCGAAAATAAGAAGTTTAAATTTAAAACATACGTAAAATATGAACATTTAACTTAATTAGATTGAAAGAATTTGAACAATGGTTTTTACTAGACTAATAATTCGGTATGAAGTTCGTAATCACTTGAAAGAGTTTTCTGCTGTATAGACATTTAAACATAAATTCCCGCTAAGCGTAATATTCTGTGTTGATTTTGATAAGTACCTTTGTTGCTTTGCACAATTATCAAAGGAAAGAGAAAATATCACGAAACTTTCAAAAATTGTTTTCTTATTTCTGCCAGGGACTGTTGCTAATTTTAGGAAAAAAATTGAACTATGGATTCCGTTAGCTGCTATGCCACTCAAGAAGATTATTTTAAATATTTCAAAAACTAATGAAAGCAATGATGGTCATGTGTTCAATCACAGCTTAGGTATGTCTCGGAAGTTTCTAAGAAATAAATTGGCAATCTTGGATAACAGCCATACAACCCTAAGTACTAATTTTAAATATTTGAAATAAAGAAGCTCTTTAAAGTGCATGAAGTCATACAAAAAAATTTTTTTTCGACATGGGTCACTAAAGCACCCTAAAAATTTTTTGAAAAATTTATATGAAAATTTGATCCATACGCCAACGATTATGGATCAAAATGCATCCCAGATCAAATTTTAAGTGGAAGTAAATCAAAATTACATCGGCGTATCTACGAAACTAAATGAGATAGCGAAAATCTGATTACATATACTGAAAGATCATCGTCGAAAACCTATGGAAGAGGTCTTAAATCAGAAATTTCGAAAGCGGCGTACGGATCAAAATAGCACTCAGCCACGATATGTAATTTTTATATTACATTTTTAAAGTAAACTATCAAAAAAACCATATTATACATTTAAAGAGATCGTGTACTTGGCATGTAATATTTTCATACGCTAGATTTTTTTTAATTTGCAAAGATATCTTAGAATTCGCCGTACATAATAAGCCTATTAATGTCCCAATAACATAATGTCACTAACAGTTCTTGAAAGTTTTGTTATTTATATTTGTTATAACATGTATTGTTATAACATTTATGCAATGATTTATTTGTAATTACGTTACATAATATTATAATTACAAAACATTAAACGTGAACTTTTAATTTTTAACCACAGTAGATTCAATTTTTAACGATAATTCAACAGGTTGTAGCACAGCTGGTGAATTCCAACATTTTTCAATTGGTATTTTCGTTTTTGCACTGTTTGAGAATTTGAAATTTTGAAGAAGAAGGACAATACCGATTTTACTTTCCATTTTACCAAATCGCATTCCAATACAACTTCTTGGTCCATCGCCAAATGGTAAATATGCCATAGAATGCCGTTTCTTTGAATTATCTGCATTAAAACGTTCTGGATCAAAAATCTTCGGTTCTGGAAAATATTCTGGATCAGCATGAAATTCGCCGTATGGTATGAGAATTTTCGTTCCTTTTTCTATTACAAAATTTGTATTAGGAACTTTGTAGTCTTGGTTTGCCACTCGGAAAACTGCTGGTGCAGGAGTATGCAAACGTAAAGATTCTAAAAATATAATTTTATGTAAAAGTTTAAGTTTTGGAAAACAAGTTCTTGATTTTCTACGGCTTATTTCTTAAGTCTTACCGTTCATGACCTGATCCAAATATATCATTTCAGATAATGCTTCGTATGATATTTCGCCATTATATTTAGCTAATATAGAATTAATTTCATTTCGAACTTTTGTTTGTATGGATAAATTTTGTGCTAGTTCATATAATGTAAATGTCATAGTAGAAGATGACGTTTCATATCCAGCAGCGAAAAAAACAAAACATTGTGCTAAAACGTCATTAAAAGTTAATCCATTTGGTGAGTTTTTCAAATCGATTAGCAAATCCATAAAATCTTTTCGCGTTACATTATTTTCTTCACGGTACTTAATAGTTTGTTCAACTAGATTTTTAAAGAAATCTATTATATACTTTTCATTAATACGTAAATTAAGGATTTTAGATAAATTAAATAAATTTAAACGTATAAAAAACAAAGATATTTTTCCCCTTCCATTTGCAAATATATCATTTCCAATTTTATTGAATTCTGAATTGGGATCTTTCAGAGTATTACAATCAATACCAAAAGCTGTTGTTCCAATTACATCAATAGTAAACCGTGACATTAAACTTTTAATTTCAATTTCCAACGTTTGATTACCATTTTCCCTAATTGAATCATTAAGAACTTCAACTAAACGATCGCCAATAGTCCTAACCGAAGAAAACATATATTTCATTTTGCCTGATGAAAACACAGGAGTTAATTTTGATCGCAAATTTCTCCAATATTCATCTTCCAAGTTTATTAAATGACCTGTTAGGGGATCTGCTTTTGGATTACTAAAACTTCCACGATTTTGAAAATATTGAAAATCTTTAATAAGAATATTTTTTACTAAGTCTAAGTCTGTTATCATTAACATTGGTTTTATATAAAAAAAAAATCCAAAAAATGGTTTTTTGTGCTTAAAAGTTTCATATAAAATTTTTATGTCCCAGAAATGGCCCTTTCCACTAGTATTTCCATAAAATAAACTTGGACGAGGAGAGAAAATTTTTTTTCGTTCCCAGTGCTTATAATGGAATTTCAAGATCCAATATAAAAGAATTACAGCAACAATTAACGCAATGCTAAAACTTAACCACATTTCTGTACAAAAATATTTCTGTTGTCTTGTATGTATTTGATGGTTGTTAATTAAAATCTTAAACTAAATTGAAAGCATAGCTTTTGCCTTTATATTTTATACTTATGATTTTTATCTAATCTTTTCAAAAAATTTTGATATAAGTTTGGAAAGCTTACTGTTATTACAGATTATTATGTATGTAGACAGATTATTAAAGATAAATTATTATTGTTTTCACCCTAAAATAATTATATGATATGTTCAAGTATTTAATTATTCGAAATCTACATTCAATTTTTTTTCCTTAACAATCATATAAAATATCCAAGTTGATTGTGTCTATAATATGTGTTTTGAAAGTTGATATGAGTTCAATATATCAGTTCAGGAATATTGCCGTTAGGAATATCCTGTATTAAAACAAATTTTAACTAATGAGTTTCAATTGCAATAAAAAGTAATTGAAATCTGACATTTTCTTCTTGTTTTAATTCACTAATAGTGTTACAGTTTTTGTTCAATTTTTTATCTGAAGCTTTAAATTTATTAAATCTAAGAATCAACTTAACTATATTTTCCAGGTTTAAACTACAAAATGGTGTATTTGTGTAGCGATTCAAAAAATTTTAAAAAAGGAATTAATTGGATTTCATATAATAGTTGTTTTATGCTCAATTCTGATAAGAAAAATATTTTATATTGTACTGAAAACTAAACTAATGAACATTATTTTAAATCTTACGTTATATAAAATGAACATATACACATATATCAATTTTTTAAAGTTTAGACAGCGATTTCCCAAAACGGTATAATAGCAGTTATAATATTATTAGTCAATTCATTATCTTCTTTATAAAAAAATACATTTTTTACAAAAATATGTACAAAAACAATTTTTTTCATACAAGTATATATACATAAATACATAATAATTGCATAAGTTTAAATTGGTTATCATTATACCAGAATATCTAAATATACTTACATATTATATCAACAAAATAATTTGAATTGTCATCAAAATAAAAGTTTTTGTAGTAAAGTTTCACCAATGATAAACAAAAACCTATCTTCTATAATCTATATTATATTATACAAGCCAAATTCGATGGCGGAACCATCGTGTATTTTCGCTTAGATTTTTCATTTTAGGAAGAACAACAGAAAAAGATAAATTGTACACAGATTTGTTGCAGAAATTTCTTATTTTTCGTGTTACGTTTATTTCCTCAAAAGTTTAATTTATTCTTAATATTATTCTTTTATTATAATTCGTGCATGAATCATAATAACGCATATGAAATAAAGTAATACTCAAAAAAGAGCTTTTTATACCCTGTACTAAATGGCTGCACTGGTTCGGGTAGCTGCCATACAAATCCGAAAGTTAATTTTAAATATTTGGAAAAATATTAAAGTTAGATTCGTGAAGTTTCATATTCGTGAAGTTTCTATCGAGTGGTTTGACAGGTTCAAGTAATTGCCATCAGTCGAAGTTATTTTTTAATATTTCAAAAAAAATTTTTTAAACTCAGATCATCAAAGTGCAGTTTTTACTTATTTTATGCTTGGTTTTACTCATATACTTAAATTTTACTCATTCCTAGCCAAAAAATTTTTACGTTAATTAAATGCATTTGTATTATGTTATAATAAAAAAATAATAGTTGTATACATGTGAACGTGTATATATGCATATAATAATTAAGGCTCAAATCGTTTACAGCCGAGGTGACTGAAACATCCAATATAATGTAAATATAAAATAAATATAACGAAAAATACGAGACAAGTTTACATTTTGGCGCATATAAAAGAAACATTCACCTGACTTGTTTACATTCTATGCTAACACCATGAACTTATCAACTTTTTTGTATATCAGGGTTGAAATTTGATTTGTTATCATATCTATGAAACTAATTGATGAAAATTCTTGAATAGATGGAATTTGAGTTCTATTTGCTACCAAAACTAACTGAGGACCTTTTAAAGGAATTTGGTTAGCATAAAGTGAGTATTTTATTATATATTAAAACTTGTGAGGAGTATTTAAAAGGCATTTTCGCAGTCTTATGCTCAACTAGACAATACCTTGTGGTCGGTTACGTGTTGATCATATCAGGTTTTTTTTTTTATCAACATAATGTTTACAAAGAATATTATAACATAATATTATGGTAGTTGAAATGTTAAGTTTATATAGAACCTAATGTGTATGTGACATCTAAATGTTTAGCTTCATTTCAATATAAATTTGTCCTTGCAGAGCATTGCTATATTCATACTAAACATATAAAGTACCGTGACTTCAATAATGCGCTGACGAAAACGTTACAAAGTATCACATTCCAAAAAGCTTAGTAAAAGCTGTTGACATTGCACACTTTTCCAAAATGCTTTCTATACGTAGTGAATAAGTAAAATGGGTATCGAAAAAATCGAGCACGCTTTTCTTATAAAAACGTTGCCAGAAATAACCAATTAAATAAACCAGCATATATTTTCAGCAATGGAGTGCGAGTTATTAAGTTTTTTTTCTTAAATGCAGCATAGAAGTGCCATGTTTTGTACCATAATGATGTGGTAACGTTTGTTAAAATTTAACATTTGCACAGAACTTAAAATTCAAATTTTCAAACAAACGTCAAAGTATGTATTAATATTGTAAAAATTGTATTCCAAAATGTCTCAAAAGCTTTAGCAGTTTTTTTTACAATGTAAAGGTATTGAAAGCTCTGAGACGGTACTACAACCGTATTAATATCGTACTTAAACTTTTTATAAAGTATTATTGAAGTCACGGTACGCACATTGTACAGAACTAGACCTACCGAGAATGCATAGAGGTGAATTTTGTATTTTTTGTTTTCAAACCTAAATTCATGTTCATTTCAAATTATTGCTTATTGACTATAAAGAGCACTGCGCGTATAAATATTTTATATTTTGCGAGCCAACGGCTTACCTTATTTAAGTTTTAATTTTCCTTCCTTCATTAAATGAATTTTATATATGTAGCTGTAGCTCTTTTCCTTATACATATACTCAGTTTCTCTACGGTGTAGGATTACACCTGTGATAAGTCGCTCATAAGTGAGTACGGATTCCACGAAGCCTTTCAGATTTGCTCATGGGTTGCACGATAGAATTCAAAGTAACTATTTTTTATAGTCATGAAGCTCAACGTGTTAATTTTGTTTTATTGTTTTCAAAAATATTTGAAATTTGTGCGATTCGCACTAGGGGCTTCTAGTATTATAATATTATACAAGCCAAATCTGATGTATTTTCGCTTGTATTCTTCATATTCGGAAGAAAAATATAGAAAAAGGAAAACAAAAAAAATTTATTCTGAATTTTTTTAACGTTTTAGGTATGTATAAGTATCGTACTCGTGAATAGTACACAGATTTGTTGCAGATCTTTAATAATTAAGTTTAATAAGGCTTAAAACTTCGCAAATATATCTGATCTATAATTGGACACACAACTGCCAAGTTTCATGAATCTGACTTTATTATTTTTCCAAATATTTAAAATTAGTCTTTGGAGTTGTATGGCAGGCACCCGAACCTGTCAAGCAGTTGAACTAAAACTTCGCAAATATTTCTGATCTATAATTGGATACACAACTGCCAAGTTTCATGAATCTGACTTTATTATTTTTCCAAATATTTAAAATTAGCCTTTGGAGTTGTATGGCAGATACACGAAAATGTCAAGCAATTCCACTAAAACTTCAGAAATATATCTGACCTATAATTGGACACACGTCTGCCACAAGTTTCATGAATTTGACTTTATTATTTTGCCGAGAATAAAAAATTTGCTTTTGGAGTTGTATGACAGCCACCCAAACCGGTACAGCTATCCCATTATAATTTTTAGGGCATGTGTAGAATATAATTGGACACATTTATACAAAATTTTATATTTATAGCTTTATTAGTTTTTGAAATATTTAAAATAAACTCTTTGAGTTGTATGGCAGCTACCCGAACCCATTGTCCGAATTAGTCCAATTACAATAGGGTTCGTCCTTGGCGCAAAAGAAACCACTTGTGAAAGTTTGGTGTCGATTGCACTATTCCTTTTTGAGTTATAGTGCGATCGGAAGGACGGACGGACATGTCTAAATCAACGCAGAATTTTACGCTGAGCAAGAATATATGTATATATATATCAATACCGCAGATGACTCCTTCAAGTAGTTACAAACTCCATACCAAAGTTAATATACCCTTCACGAAGTGCAGGTATATTAACTAAAGGTTAACTTTATAAAAACAAAATGGCCGCTCAAATTTACCGTTATCTAAAGTCCGTTTTTTCCAAATTTTTGATGTCGTTTATTTTCTAGACCCCAACCTGTAGAAGCTTGAAATTATGGACTTTTAGACATTAACAAATAGTTCATTTCGTTGGAAGAAAACTTTTTTCCATCTCCAATATCATTACCATAGAATTTTGTACAAATTTGGAAGAAACCTTTTAGAATAATAATTTTCCAAAAATTTATCTTAATATAAAACTAAATTAATTTTATTGTTAATTAATTTGCTAATGGAACAAGGCGACCATAATTATTACATCTTTTCTTTTGTATAAATTCGATAATCTTATTATGTTAAGGAAATACCTGATAGAAAATTCACGATTTGTATAATTTTAAGTTTAACGACTTCACTTACTGTAATATACTCACCTTTTTTTACAATTACTCGAATGATAATGTTTAATATAAAGAAGGACGAACAAAACAACTACTTGGAATAAGTTACCGAATAAAAATGGAAGTTATGGAAGCATAAACTGCTTTATAGATAATAAAGATAAATCCAAATAATTTTTTTAAGCTTACATTTTATTTTAACTAAATAAATTACAATTTTTTTTTAGTTTTTCTTATTCTACTAAATTACATTTAATTTTATTAACTTTAGTTATAAAAATAAATTTAGAAAAATCAGCTCAACAGTTTTTAATCTGGTTTAACTAAAATAAATGAATTAATAGTTTAAACAGTACAAACAGGAGTTGAAAAAAATTAAATTTAATTACTTTCAAAATTATGGGTAGGTTTTACCTTGTAAGGAATAATATAAAAAATTGCTTTAAAAATTTTAAGGCTTTTCGCTATGAACAAACGACACTACTATCACTTCAACAAATTAAAATCGTTTTATACACCAAAGCGAGAAAAGTCATCACTATTTTACTATTTTGCCAGAGTTGGCAATGGTTAGAGACTTATACATAAAAATTGTTGCTTTGTTTAATTTTAAATTTGTTTTGTTTTTTTATTCAATTTTTATAGAAACAATAAATAGAGATTTTTCAGAGTCAATTTTTAAGTGTTGTGAAAACCCAATCTTAATGTATATATGGTTATTCAATTGTTATGCTAATGGATTTGAAAAATTTTAAATATTCATATTTTCTTTGAAAATGAAATTGATAACATTGTAGATTCATCGAGTTAAAAATTAGATTTCTTTTGACTCCTATTAGTGTTCCTAATATCAAGAGCTGCATTTTTTCTATGTTTTTTTTTGGTTTTTGTTTTAACCATTATATGACATTTAATTTTTTAAAATTTTGTACGTCATAAAGTGCTAGAGATCAACTTCTTAGAATTAGCCCCATTACACACTATATTTTAACATATTAATTATATATTATACATATTATTATAAATGATAATATTTTTCATATAAGTATTATACAGTCGTACTAGATCGTATAATCGCACTACACGTAATTAAAAATTGAACTTATAATTTCTTTTTTGAAAACATTTAGAAATACTTGAATTATTAGCTCCTTTCAACATATTTTATTTTTTTAAATATAAAAAATTAAATTATTTAGTTAAAAACTTTTTGATATATTTTTTACCACGAATTATGGTACTCGTAGAATTAATAAATTAAAGTGATTTAAATTTTTGTGTACACTTAATAATTATTAACCTTAAGTTCGTTTTAGCAACAAATACATATTTGATACATTTCACATTTTTTAATGCTTTCTAGCAACATTTTATATAGTATAAAGGTCTTAAAATGTATTTTCAACGTTTAGATTGAGCAGTAAATATTTTTGTATCGTATTCAAAAAATATTAGGTGTTTTCGTAAAAACATTTATATAAATAAAAATTTCTGTAAGTACCTTTCATTTTGAAACAAAAAAATTAATTACGAGTATTTGGAAAATGACAGGAGTAAAACAGTATAAAAAGCCTTGGAAAAGGAGTTACTCACTTAAAAAGTGGAAAAGCATAAAAAACGTAAAATTTAGTGAAGAGATATGTAAGTTTCTAAATGTAGAGAATTACCTTGTTTTCACGCGTACAATGAACCGTAGAGTTTTTGAAATGTTTACATACAATGTATTTGAAATATGTATGTATGTATCATATAAACCTTGTTTGCTTAAAAAACAAACTCAACCTAATTTTAAAAATGAAATTTTATCAATTCATTTTATTTTAATAATAATAATAATAACAATAATAATAATAATAATAATAATAATAATAATAATAATAATAATAATAATAATAATAATAATAATAATAATAATGTATTTTAATAATAATAATAACGTATCTTATATTACTAATTACCAATACAATGTGTAATTGTTTATTTTTTGTATAATTTATTATTAATTCTCATAAGAATAACAAATGGCAATTTCTTCACACAACTGCTGGACATATGTATCATGTAATAAAAGGAACGAGTAAAGGCAGAAAAATTAGAAAATTTTTCTCCTCCAGCGACCTATTACTTTCTAGGGGGACGCTCTTCAATTGTCGGCAATTTTTTCATACCTTTTTAGCTTAATTTGGTCTAGGTCACTGGTTTGAGTCCAGTTTGAAGATAAAAATTTTTTAATTTTTCTGCCTTTACTCGTGTCTTTGATTACATCATCCATCTGTTCTGGAGTTATATGAAGAAAGTTTCCATTATTTAAACGTATCTTATGTTTAAATTATAATACTTAAACATATTATGTAATAAAGTATTTTACTCATTTTTGAGTTTCTGTTCATTTAGATTCGAATAATTAAAATAGTTGGAATAATAAAATAAATTTAAATAGCAAATCAATTACTATCACAAAAGTGTACTTTATAGATAAAGCCTCCGTGACACATTTTCTGTAATGACATTTTAATTATTTTCTTGGGCATTAAGTCTTATTCGAGTTTACAATGGTAACTATTTTAGTTTTTACAAAATTGTACAAGATTTTTTCTTTATACTTGTTTAAAAAATACTGCTTTTTATTTTTAAATTTGGAACGCTTATATATTATGTCTCATTTTTTTTAATTTATGTGTAGATATATTAATGTATACATTCAAAATTATAAGTAGATATATTTATCAAAATTAGCGTGACATTTTTGTTAAAAAAATTTTTTAATTTCATTTAAGATAAAAAAAAAATTATAACAAATTAAACTAACTAAAATTACCATAACATGACAATACATTCATAATCTTTATTTTATCAAATAAATTGAAATTTTTATTTTAAAGTTGTATAAGTAAAAATAATAACATTTTAAGTAATTTTTTCGATATATTGCTATAGAAATTTCGTACTAAGGATGTATTCTAATGAAACGGTACTTTATTATTTCGAACGTAATTTAAAAAGTTTTTAATTTCCATTAAGATTTTCAATTAAAACTTATTTCGATATTTGCGCAACCGAACTCTTAAAAGGCTTTTAACCGATGTGACTTTTAGTGACACTGTTTGAGTTCGTGTTTTAATAGAGTTTGTAAACATAACAGTTTTCAATTTTTACGATAAATGTCACGACAGTTAATGACACACCTTGATAATTTTAGGCGATCTTTACAATTTATTTAAAAAAGAGAAATATTTAATTATTTAAATATTTCGATTAAATTTGTATGTTTTTAGTTTTGAAATGTTGTTAATAAATTTTTTTAAGTTAAACTTATTACAATGGTTTCATTTCTTTTACAAATTTGTTATATAACATCTTTCCCGCTTTAATTACACATAACTGTCAATCAATGAACCGACCTTGAAAAAACTTAAATTTTATTAATATACAAAAGATACGTCTTCTTATATATGATATTACTTAGAATTAAACTATTGATTATGTTAAATTATAGGCATAGTTCTCAATCTGGCTTGAGTACTTGGATTTATTTAAAAAAATTTATATTATATAATAAGAGTACTTAGGACTGGAAAGTGATTAGCGATCAGATATCACGTGCGATTACGTGTTATTTTAATTAAATTTATCATAAAAATTTTAAAACTTTATAATAGAAGTCTCTCATCACTGTTTTTATCATTCACTTTTATGTAAACCTATCATTAATTTTTGGTGTCATAATTAAAAAGTAATCTGTCAAAAATAATTGCAATTGTGCATTGCAAATTTATGTTGGAAAAAATTCGGTATTATCATTAAAAAAAAATAATGATACCTACAAGTGTTTATTATTCACTCATTTTTTCTTTGTTAAAAAATAGTTTTTGTCATTCACTCATTTTTCCTTTCATTGATTTTTTTGTGACACGGATGACACAAATCAATGTATTTGATATAAAAATTGCTGCGTGTTTACAATAATAATACCTACATAAGATCTTACGATATATCACTACGACTAAAAACTTTAATACAATTTTTTTTTTTAAGATATTTAAAACAAAAAAAAACAAAAAGTCTTTCGGTTTCCATTATCGTTACTCGATTATTTGGCAGCGATTGACAGTTATTATAAAAAGGAATGTTAGATTAAAATTAAAAATTTAATTGACTTATTCGTATAATTTTAACGAGCGGTTTTTAATGTATCAAAAACTAATCTAATTATTTTTTATGAGGCACGGTGTACATTTTGTTATATGGAATAAAATATCATTAAGGTACTATCATTATAGCCGTTCTAAATATTTTATGTGCCATTTTTTGTTTCATCCTTGAGTACTTCTTCTTTCTTTTTGAACATGCAATCTAATTCTTGTCCTTTTACTTTTTTTTTTGTCTTTTTTTAATGCTTTCTATAACGACGAATTTGATTTAAAAATACTTTTGATTAAAAATTTATTATTACAATAATATTTTTAGTTAATGGTTTGCTTTGTTATGTTTTAAGAATATGCTCAGCATTATAGGTAACATAATTCCATCACTTAAAAATTTACAGGATCTAAAATAAAAAAAAATATTATTATTATTTAAAATCAAAGAAAAACGAAATTATAATTTGACAATTTGAGAAAAACAAAAAAAAATTGTTTGTTGGACGAAAAAATGCAAAAATTAAAATATGTCAATAGAAATATTTAGCCTACACTCTTTACTTGAAGCTTTTGACAAAAAATACTACTGCGATTTAATAAAATTTTTTCTTGAGTTAAACCGCTTTTTGAAACTAATCACAAAACCGGTGATAGACAACAGACAAATCGATATCCCTCCGCAAAGAAACTTCTCATCTGCATCAGAGCGTGGCGCTAGCAGAGCTTAATGCTAGCAGACATCTCGCTCACACCTCGCTCCTATTCGGTCACAGAGACTTTGACGTTGCAAGTTGCCCAACTTTTAGTTTCCTTTACAAATCATCCAAGAGCGGAAGCACCGAACTATTTAACAAACCACGTACGTCTTTGATCGTGTACATTTCTTTTGAGCTAGACGTTTTTCAAAAAACCCAATATAAATAACTGTTTGAACGCCACCTACACTTTTTAACAAAAACTTAAACTTTTTTTTTTTAAATTTAAATTTAAAAAAAATTTTAAAATCACAAATAATACTGAGGTTTGTTGTTTGTCACAATAATGCGTGATGCATTTTTGAAGTTGAAACCATATTTAATAGCAATTAAATATTGTAATAATGATTAAAATAAACAAGTGTTTTCAACTGTAGACCAAAGAAGAGATATAGTTCGTTAGACGAGGGATTGAAGATAAAAGACATAACTTCAAGTAATATAAAATGAAAAATGCTTCTAGCATAAGGTACGATATTTGATATAATGGAAAATTTAAAATGTCCTTAAATTTGATCTTTTTTCATATTCTTTGGATAGTACATCTTTATCGTTTCGATAAATATTAAAACCTATTGCACACACGAGTCATATATGAGAGTTTTGGTTTATGTTTCTTATTTTTGATGATAAATTTAGGAAGGATAATTTTTGGCTAATGCAAATGGCTAAACTACTCAAAAATATTTTTTAACATTTTTATACTTACAGTTGCAATCTACGTACTAATTTACTGAGTTTTTTTAACTCTTACTGATACAATAACATTATGTCTTTTATAGCGCTTAGTGAACCAAATATTAGTGCTAAAACCCCAAATATAGTAATTACAATATTTTTCCATATGATCCAATTGTATTTACCAAACCCATCGTCCCAGTACACAACCATTTCTATGAAAACCTATAAAAAAAATACCATGATTTATTATAATATAATACACATATATATGACATTATTATTCAAATAGAAAAACAAGATTTTTACCCGACACTTACCGGCAAGAGTAAACCTAAAATCGAAAAACAAAAGGCACCAATTAATCCCATAAATGGTGCTATTGAAGGTACTGCAACAGCTAAAACAACGGCTGCAGTTACAAGCACAGTTCTTATAACATAGTTAACCATTAATGGACGTTTAGTGCATTTGTCTTTAACACCATCCCAAACAATTTGCAAGCATACATAGAATTGTAAACCGAATGTACAATATACAGCTAGTCCTATAAATACTTTAACTATTTGTGCAGGTCTAAAATAGAAAATGAATTTTAATCAGTAAATGTAGATAGTATTTTTTATGTAGGGCCATTAACTTACACTTCATTTACAGGTAAATTAAGTGTTATGCTTTCTCGTGTATCGTCACCATAACGCAAATAACCCAAAAACCCTAAGAACATATAAATTAAGGTCACCCCCGACATTCCTTGACTTAACACACCGCATATTCCAACAAAATGTTGAGGAGTTTTCATATTATTTTCAAGCGGCATAACTACACCTATTGCTTCCATAGCAAATATAGTAATTGCGAAAAAGGCTGGCAGTGTTGAGAAATTACTGTATGTTCTTGTTGTAATAGGTGGTATCTCCATCACTAAATAATAGAATGTTATTCCTAAACCAGTAGCCATGAATATATTAGCAACCATTGACACTGGAGCTAAATATTTTAGGTTTGGAATCCATGATAGTAAAATTAACGGTACAAGTAATGTAGATATTAGGAAACGTATTGATATATCAAGATCGAAAAAATATTCCAAAACCTGTAAATTAGCAAATATAAATTAGTATCGTATATTTTTGATTGTAATAGTATGTTACGCGTGTTATTTCAACATGCAAAAGCTTAAGTATTTACAGTGACTATAGTACTTACTTGTTCAAAATTTCTTGCCACAATTACTGTGTATACAGAGCATGTACCGAAATATGATAAAAATAAGCAAAGTAATATCAAAAATTTCGCGAACCATGCAAATTTTCTAGCCCATTTTGGACCTGTTTTAAATGCCACTTCAGCAGTTTCAGCAAAACTCATTTGAGTTCTTCTCGTTTTATAATACAATTTATGGGCACATTTTACTAAAATATAACTACAATGTGTGCAAATTAGTGAGGTAAAAATTGTTGCTCCTAATCCCAAAATAATGCCAGAGTACATAAAAGCTATCGGCATTGAAAGAATTCCAGTTCCCAATGATGCTTTTAGCAGATGAGTTAGAGTTTCATTATCTCTATAAATAAATTTTTTTATAAATTAATTCATGATTTTGAATTATTGTTAACTATTACGCATTTACTTACGTAGTCGGGTGAGGGTTGTCACGAAGAGCAAATGGATCGAATTCTTTAACATTTCCATTTTCAACATCCTTTCTAGGAGTCACTTTGTATCTGCGACGAAAGTAAATAATTATTAAATATTTAAATTAGCAATGCTTATAATAAATTTATCAAGTTTATTAGCAATATCAAGTATGAATCAGTATGGGACTTAAAACAGCACTGTCACCTGCGCGCGGTGGGTCCTGGTAATGGCAGAGAATAGAAAGGTAACTGAAATGTAAACAAAGTTACACTAGTGTCGTGGCCATGTCTCGCGACGAATTCCTTTCTTTGCATGTTTCAACCTGATATCTATACGTCAGCTAACGACAGGCATCCCAAGTTAAGGTGGAAGAGCGTATTCCGATGACCGCGTGGTTGAGAGGGAGCTTAATCATTAATTTTTGTCAACGACAAAAAGGAATACCGGTTTGTGTCAACGACAACAAGGAATACTAGTAGTGGAATGCGGTGCTTCTCACACCGGTGAGGCGACTCCGATGGAAACGGATGAGCAGAATCCAATGCCCACTTCTTATCCAAGAAATTGAAGAGCAACTGAAGAAGTTCGCAGAAGAAGCCCGCCACTATGAGAAGAAAAGGCTGGAAAATCTGAGAGACTGCGAAACGGTTGTTAGAGCCAACTATCACCAGAAGAGAGAAAGGTCAGAGAGCAACACTTCGAAGCAGGACCCTCAAAGAAAAGGTCAGTGGAGAGTAATGCTGAGAAAAACGTCTCTGGGAACGTTTCTCAGCAATGGCTGAAAAAGACCTCTTACCATGAGCAATAGCTCAAAGTAGCTATAACCGTAAGGCTCAGCAGGCGGGTGTGCAAACCAAACTGCAAAAACTTCAGAGGTTGACTTGCCTGGGAGTGACCGGGCAATGTGGACGGTCCCATCGCTGCGTTAGAGGTAATGATTGGGTTGCCACCATTGCACCTCTACATAATGAAGGAACCTCGGCTAATGACTTACAGAATTACCTCGGGCGAAGACGAGGCAGTATGAAAGTTGACCCACAGAACTCACAGAGAGTTTATTGAGGACAATCCGGCTACGGTAGAATTTCGACACAAGACTTCGTCTTAGAACCTTCCGCGTACCACATGCTTGAACTCGACTCAAATACCAGGCCACCTCGGTCCCACGATTACGGATTTATGGGAATCGAGTGGATAGTTTGTATGCAATTTAATAATTTAATATATTGTTACGTAGAAATACGTGTATGTGTCTATAAAACAACTTAAATTTTAAATTACGACTAGACTTGCGAATGAAGAAAATTGCATTTCCGGGGCGAACACATCTGAGAAAATATACCGTGCTTCAATAATGCTTTATAAAAAGCTTAAGTACGATATTAGTACGATTGTAGTACCGCCTCAGAGCTTTCAATACCTTTACATTGTCATAAAAACTGCTAAAGCTTTTGATACATTTTGGAATATAATTTTTTACAATATTAATACATACTTTGAAAATTTGAATTTAAAGTTCTGTACAAATGTTAATTTTCAACAAACTTTACCATATAGCATTTTTATGCTGCATTTTGGGAAACTTTATTGGTAAATATATATACTAGTTTATTTAATTGGTTATTTCTGGCAACATTTATATGACTTATGATAAAAAAAGCGTGCTCGATTTTTTCAATACCCAATTTACTTTTATTTTACGTATCCACTACGTATACTCGTAGAACGCAATTTGGAAAAGTGCATAATGTCAAAAGCTTTTACTAAACTTTTTAGAATGTGATATTTTGTAAAGTTTACGTCGTAAGCGCATTATTGATGTCACGGATACACCGTGAAGTGCTGACAATAGATCCTGAATTCCCTTTTAATAGAGAACAAATTAGAAATTAGAAAATTCACTAATCCGTCTTATAAAAAGAATAAAAAATGAAGGCAATTAATGGCGATTTTTTGAAAACTTTAAAAACGTGTATGGTGCGAAGCATTTTAGAGCGCCACTATAAGAAAACGTCCATGACACTATATTTGACAAGGATGAGATATCTGAGATTTAGTTTTAAGTTTTTGTGAATTTAATAATCAAAGTGGAATGTTATATTTGTTAATTTTAGATAAATTTTAATCAGTATATTTTATTAATCTCCATTTAGACATAAATGTATTGCAAATGTGAATTAATTAGAAGAAAAAGGTATTTTTTTTATATCTTATGTTTTGACAATTTCGTAAAGAACTATTTCTTGAAATTAAACGTCGCATCTTTAACATTGTTTATTCCATTTTTTGACTCAAAGTAGAGAATTATGTTTTTTATGTTGTGTTATGAAAGTTAAATAAAGTAGGTATGAGAGAAAATTTTGCTTTGTATATAATTTATTTGAAATAAAACAATTTGTATCTGCAAAGTAAATAAAAGTGCATGAGTTTTTTTTCCAAAAAACAAGTACAAATATAAATTCATAATATTGCTCTTTGTTTTAAAATACTAGCGATATGACACAAAACCAACCGTTTTTGTGCAGCTTTCGATTTGTTTGAATGTTTGTGATCATTATTAATGCCCTCATGTTCTATAAATTCTTCACTAAGATTTTGTTCCAAGATAGTAAAACTGTATAGAATTACACAAGCTATAGCAATAGTTTTTATATTTTTTAAACTTCTAAAATTGAGACTATCAATTATTCAGAATTTCAATTTCAACAACCGAAAAGATTGCTCAATCAGAACCCTTGTTGAGTTTGATTGTTCGTTGTAAATTTTTTGATGATGTGTTAAGCTTCCATTATCTTTAAAACGCGTCATAAGAAAGTTAGATATAAAAGGCGGCATAAGTTATGTGAAGTCACATGTACGTCAAAAGGCAATATTATTTTATTTTGGATCAAACTTGTCCCTATAAGACACTATTTTCGAATACGTATGCTTCATTGGGTCATATTGGCCAACCAATGAAAACGTTTGAAGAACTAAAATCGCTTTTCCAAATACTCTATAAAATTAAAAAATAAAACAATTTTATGTACATATCACGTTATGTGAAAAATTTGATATTATATATTGTCTATCAATATATTATTATATATCAATACCTTTAATATTATTGAATGAAACTCCTTTCTACTATAATAACTAGAAGGGTCAGAAATTGAGGCTTTTATTCTGATGTGTATGCCGTCAATACAACCTATTACGTTGGGAAAACCAATGTTCTCATTTTGTTAACCAATTTCACGAAATGAATTTCGGTTCGCCTGTAACCATATAGTCATGTATAAGGGTTCTTCTAAACAAATTTTAGGATAACCGTGTCGGGCATGATTGTAATATGGGTCCAAAGAGCGCAAGAGTTTCTAAAATCCAAATATTTATGAAAATACATAATACATAAAAAAAGTTGTTAACGGTTTGAAGAATTTCTGCTCATTCTGAAGTGAAATTTAAATGTCTCATCATAAAAACTTTAAATTAATAATAATATAATAATATTTATTAACCCTTGGTATTTGATTTGTGATGTTGGTCAATTTTTTCAATAATATTATTTTTAACATTTTTTTTTTTTGGTTCTTTCTTAATAAAGTTCGCTTCATTTTAAAATTACTTTTACCTAAATGGCATTCATTTTGTTCAGTAACATCATAAATAAGATTACAAGTTATGACACGGATGTTCATATGAATGAACAGTTTTAATATGAAGGGAATCACGGGGAAAATCTGTTATAATAATATTATATTATAATATTACATTACATACAACACGTAAAGGAAGATAATAAAATTTCATTGACCGAATTTGTTAATTAATAAAGGTATTAAATGTACAAAAAAAAACAAATGAAAATTATTACGCATATTTACACTAACTATGACTTATTGCCACTAGATATTGTTAGATAATAATTATAAATATTATCTTTCTATTCTTTGAATTGCACCGCGATCATTGTCTTTCATGATTTTTCACCCAATTTATCTTTTTTTATGACGATACTATTTAATTAAAGATAATATGTGATATTTAATTAGATTGTCAACATCAATTCAAGTCTATTTAATACTTTTTACAATATTTCTAATAAATCATTAATATGTATGTGCATAGATATGTAATGTGTACTTGAAAATAATGGTCAATTATATAAATTTACTATATTTCTCATAAAGAAAAACGTCGAAAATAAACAGAAGTTTTAGCATTAGTGCTTAATTCCATAACACAATTTTTAAATATAAGCTTACCTTAGCCCGTTAGACCCATCAGTTGGTAAAAATGTTTCCAATTCTTGCGGTGTGTTGCTACCTCCGCTATCCTAAAAAAAAATTGATATTAGTTTTAAAACTGGAATTTCGAATAGTTGCATTAATGCAATTTTTTAGCTATGTGTATTTCTATAAAGATGTTCCAAACTATTAAAACTGTTTCTAACATATGTTTATAAAACATTTTTGGAGTATACGTTTATAAAGTATTTCTGAAAGAATTTCAGAAACTTTTTATTTACCAATATTCTATTAGTCACGTCATGTTACCTAAAATATGCCTTCCTGGTTGTCGCGTAGAAGAAATAAAAATTTTTTCAAGTTGGGTAGCATTAGCAACTTGCGCGATGTTACAAAAAAATTTAAAATAGAATGCGTTGAAAAATATTTTGGTTATGTGCAATAAATAAAAATCGAAAGTTTTAAAGTCAGAAATTTTTTCGAAAGTAGTTTTTTAAAGTTTTTATGGTACCGTTATACCAGAAATATTAAATCCACTTGAACTTCCTTTTTAAATATGTAAAAAGAAACTTAAAAGCCACTTCTTAACACTTTTTTCATTATCCCAAAAAACCTTCTGAAATCTCGGAAATCCATTAATTCTATTAAAAGCTCAAATTCCTTAGTTTGTATTATTCTGTTTTGTCTTATAAAATAGAGTAAAATATAACAAACAAGAATAAAAATTTAGGATAAAATTAATAAAATAAATTTATACATTTAATCTAAAAGAATGCTCCGTGATGGCCAACCTCCATCGTTTGTTCACAAATTATATATGTTACATTGCGCATAAAATGCCTTTGAAATGTTTTATTAGGTGATCTAAGTGGTATTAAAAATAGAAACAAAAATTCGGTGGTAAATTTGATTTTCTTTTGTAGAAGGATTTCAGCAAATTTTAAATATCACCCTCAACAGTTTGCACTGTAAATTAATTGAAAATCACGTTGTTTTCACGTTGTTAAAATTTATTTCTACAAATTCCAACATTTTAGTTTACAACGAATGTTGTTGAATTTGAATGAATTAGGTAGAGATCAGCTTGAACTTCCTTAAAATTTCAATTTTGAACCGACCAATATAATTCAAGATGTTTTTGGTAATATTTAATCGAATATTGTAAATGATAATATTTTAGATTCTATTATACGTTATTAGTTTCGAAAATTGAAGATTACTTATTAATTAATTGAGATATTTTTAACTTATTGTCAGGTGAAGTTAAAGTCTATTACAGCTGTAATAAAATTATTTATTATATGATGCTATTCAAAACAACGATTTCCTTATTGAGATTTTAAATTAATAGAGTGGCATTACATAAATTGAAATAAAAGATGTCTTACTATAACATTATAATGACCCTTAATGAATATACTACGCGTTAATAAAACATTATCAAATAATAAGAGAATGAGAATCAAACAGGTACATGGAAATTCATTGGGCTGCTTTTAGACAGGAGTTACACGTAGAAGAAGAATTTTGATTTCTTGCTTTCATTTGTCGCACTTCTGTACGCTTTAGTCTTATAATTTGAAAAAGTTTTTATCCCCAGTCATTCCTGCATTTTGTTTTAAACACTAGCAAATTACGACACAAATATTTCAAAAGGTCGACATATAGTTGTGGAATTTAGTTTTTTCATATGGTCAGTTGTATCTAGTATGTTGTCACCAGTTGAGGTTATTCTTGTGATGATTTAAATTTTGTATTTTAAAATTCAGATCTCCTCAACGTGATCATTTGTCTGTTGAAAATAGATTATTCATTAATAATAATATTGTTTTTTATTGAGTTTTTAATATTGTTTTTAAATTTTTAATTTAGTTTTTCCTTTTAAATTTTTTCTGGATGGTTACAACATTTTAGAAAAAAAAACAAAAATAAAAAAAAATTAACATATTCGTCTGTTACGTAAGACATTATTACGAATGAAGTTTGTAATAAACAATAAAATTAGATATGTACATATCTTATAATTTCACAATTAAAAAATGTAGGAAAATAGATACAATTTGTTTCATTACGAAAAATCTAGTTTAGGAATCTAGATGAGCTTAATTGCACAATACATACTACAATTTCAATTAAAAAATTCAATTTACTGTTGAAATTATTTTTTAATTTCAAATGGTAATTAGTTTTCTATTTTGCTACTTACCACTATGTTCACCATGGTTGTATTTTACAAAAATCTGAAAAAAAAAAAAACAATTATTAAAATGTGCTTTGTTTTAAAAAAAAAATAATAATTTCCGCAGGTATAAAATTCTGAAAATTTATTTGTGATTGCATATGCAACTAATTTGATATTGATTATTTTATGGATTTTATTAGGTTATTCTATCCCTCAATTTTTAAAAAAATTTTCAGCTCAAGTTACATTGCAGTTTGTCAGTTGACAAATGGTAATAAGTTTATCTATACTAAACTTAACTTTATTTTTAATAACCTTTTCTTCCAGATTGTAAATAAGACAGTTTTTAAATCGCCCTCAATCTTTGTAATTTTTGCTTTGCTGCTGCGTAAAAACTTTACTGAGTATTGTGCTTAAATTATGAAACATATTTGAAATCTATAAATATTCGATGAAGTTTCGACTTTTCGAACAAGTAACAACTAAAAAAATATAGAAAATTGTATAAAATTGAAAATTTTAAATATAAAAAAGAGTTTGTGCTAGTTTTGATTTAGACCTTAGGAACGTTCATCAAATGTGCATTAAAACACATATAGGGCTTAAAGTATTTTATTCAAATCTAGTTTTAATATAAATGTACCCCTATATGTATATAGTATATATAAAACGTTTATTAGTTATGAAAACATTTACTATAGTTATTATGCAATTGTAATGAAATAACTACTTTATCAATTTTTTCTAATAATTTTTTGCTTGATAATGATTGTTTACTTGAACTTTTATCAGTTAAAAAAAATAAAATTGATTATGAACTACAAATGATGACATCTTTGATCTTCCATAGGTAGTAAGAAGAATATTGACATGAAGAATATTTCTGCACAGTGAATTTTGTTTAGTTCAAAAAATGGGAAGTTTATTTTCAACAATTCTTGTGGAATTATTATAATATATCTAAGTAAGGTTTCATAATCGTGTTACATTCTGCAATGAAGCGCCATGTTATAAAATGGTTTTGTCCATCTAATATTACTATCACTTTCAAAAATAAAATTACAATATAAATTGTAAAAAGTTTAAAGAATCTTATAATCAAAAAAACTCATTCCGGTTTAGTTTTCTTTAGTTTTTATCATAACAATTTTAATTTTTTACCTCATTATGTTTCGAAATAATTAGTGATGCTTGTGAAATTTATGAAATTGTTAACATTTAAAATGGGGTTTTAAAATAAATTTTTATTTCGCTAAGTGATGGTTACGGTACCAAACTTAACGAAGCAAATTTACAATTTTCATTTAAAAAACAAAACAAAAATAAAATTGTTGTACACATCAATACAAAGCGTTAGAAGTGTTTCGTTCATTTTCCATATTCATTTTAATTAAGCTTATTACGTACATAATGTACATTAAATGTGAGTTATATGTAAGTAAAATATCAAAAATAAAAAACCTATTAGAAAAACTTTATTAAAATATAATTTTCAAAATTCATAGAATTCAGCTGATCAAATGTTTATAAAAAATTTTGATTTTCTGAATAGAGTATGACGTTGATTGAATATACAGTTTGTAACAATATATAATTGTGTAAATTAAATATTCGAAAAGCCTCAGTTGTGCAAATAAAAAATATTTTATTATTTTACATAAGCGTATACATATCTGAATTAAATTATATTGTTGCAAATCGTTCTTCAAGAACATGAAAAGAAATACGTAATGTACTTACGTTTGTATAAGTAACTATATAAAATTAATTAATATTAAATTCTCAAACTAAAATAACCCAACAGCATATCTCAAAAAATATGAATTAAATTTTCAGGATTCACTAAAAATATTTCTTAATTTTAACTATGTTTAATAATTTTACTAAACACAACTGTTTGTTTTATACAAAAATAAACAACATTTAAAGAACTTCATAATTGTGAAATGTCATTGAAGCATAGTAGAAATTAAGTTTTTACCTTTTAATATTTTTAAAAGCATCAATTTTTTGGGTTGAAGTTATTCGTTCCCACTTTTAAAATAACGTATTTTGCAAATATAATTAAAATAAAACGCAATTAACCTTCAATGAATTCAGTGAATATTAAAATGCGCTTAATTTACTTATGGTAGAGCAGTTAGCAATTTAATCAATTATTAAAATCTATAAAATTAATCAATAGAAATGAACGCAAATTATAAGTCAAATTTCATTTGTTGACTATATATGTATCTGATGTCAAAAATATGGATGTAATCGATAATGTAAAATGTGCGGCGAATTCTTTTGCATCTTAATCGATATTGCAAAAGCATTGCAACTTTTATTGTCGTCAATAAATGTTTACATTTGTGATGTAACTGGTTTTGCAAAAAACAATAATGTCTCTTAATTAATAATGTCAATTGCCTGCCATATTGTTAAAATTTTTTCGCATTTTTAGCACTTTTCCAAAAAATTTTTTGAAAAAAGTGCTTATTAGTTTCACTCTGTCCGTCCGTCCGTCCGTCCGTCCGTCCGTCCGTCCGTCCGTCCGTCCGTCCGTCCGTCCGTCCGTCCGTCCGTCCGTCCGTCCGTCCGTCCGTCCGTCCGTCCGTCTGTCCGTGTGTCTGTTTACAAAACTTCTACACCCTTGAAGATAGAAAGCTGAAATTTTATATATACATAGATCTTTACTACAAACTTATTTTCGTAGAACAAAATTTTTACCTATCTCCCCCCCTCTAGAAGTTATACCCCCCCAAAACCCTAAAAATGGCCTTTTTTAAATATTTGTTGCAATGAAACCATAAGCATTTTTGAAATTTTGCAAACGCACAAAGGCAGCGGCTTGCTTCCCCTAGCGCGGTATACTATAGTTAAACTTTAGAAAAACAAAATGGCCGTTGAAATTTACCGTTATCTAAAGTCCTTTTTTTCCAAATTTTTGATGTCGTTTTTCTTCTAGATCCTATATTCTAGAACTTTGAAATTTTAGGGGCTTTTAGACATTAACAAATAGTTCATTTCGTTAGAAGAAATTTTTTTTCCATCTCCACCCCCTCTCAAGTTATCACCTCTTGAAAATCGTAAAATTTGAATTTTTGACACCTTATATTTCCGAAACTGAAGCTTTTTCAAATTTCTATAAACACAAAAAGCTAACGGTAAATTCCATGACATTAAAAAATATAATTATTTTTCTTAACTCATACAATTAACCTTTAAAATCGAGCATTATGTTAACCTCACTTTATATTAATTTTTGCTTTATTTCAAAGACTGCATGTATGCATCATCCTAAATATATACAATCCTAGAAATAGTTTTGTATATGAATGAAAATAATTTTTATAGTGTGATAGGTATACATAGACTGTATTTAAAAGCAGAATTTTCACTTGTTGAAGGGAAAAGTGCTACAATACAAACCATTGGTTTGACCCAACTTTATTATAAAAGAATTTTAACTACTGATTTTATTTTTTGTGCAAAATGGGAAAGTGTGAAGAAGAAAATAATGAAATTTAACAAAAATAGGTATGCAAAAGTTCTATACGAAAGCTAATACACAAAAGTCTTTTTACATAAATTATGGATTGTCGGTTGGTTACCGCGATTGTTGTCGACCGGCATTAAACATTATCTATTACACCAGACACCTTATCATTTCAAAACATCTTTTCATACATCAAAACTAGTAAACATCTTCGTATGTAGGTGCATAATTTAATTTCTTAAAATTTAACCATGTTATGGTCGTGTTATGATTTTTTATCAAATTTTTTTTCACTCAATGATGTATGTACGTACTTTACTTACGTATTTCATTTAACATTCACATAACAGTGTAAAAGTTTATAAAACAAGAAATTCGATTTTATTGTTATAAGTTTATATTACATGTATCTGATAAAATGAATATGTAAAACAACAAAAACATTGCAGTCAAAACCTCAGAATAGAGTTATACCTACAACTCATTTTATATTTACAAAATTTATAAATTGTACATATGTATGTATATATTTTTTTCTATGAAGAAATCGAAATTGTAAATAATTTTTGAAAAGCATTCATACAGCGAAATTTTCACAGTTGCCTTATCTAAGTTCAACTGTATGTGAACAGTAAGCTACATAATAAACATGTTAATATATATTATGTAGTTTGAAAAAAATAGTCAATATCAAACGAAATTCACCACAAATTCTCAAAAGCTTCAATTTCAATTATGTTTCTCTTCAAACTTTGTCAATTTCAATTGTTTCTCTTTAATTTTTTAAAAATATTTTACCGAAAACATTCTATACATACAAATGTAGTACATGTATTGTCAATAAAATAAAATCACGTGTAGTGAAACTGTTATAATCATTAAAATTATTTATATCACAAAAAATTATATAGTACAACATAATATAATATTTGGAATCTTCTGCGCATCGATGTTGTTTTTATACAAACAAATTTATTTTTATGAATTTTAAATAGTAAATTAGAGAGCAAAAATAAGAAAAAAACAAGGTGAACAAACTTTTTCTTAAGAAATAAATTAACGCATGTGCAAAAATATTATAAGTGCAAACATTTGTAAATGTAATCTATACCAATTATTTACATTCCAATACATTATATACAAAAAATAGTCTCTTTCAAATCTAATATATAGTATGTATTTCAAATACTTTAAAATTCTTAAGTGAGGTAGGTTTTCTTTCGGTATACGTATGTATTTGGTCTAAAAGTCACATAGAATTGAAATATAACGAATTTATTTCATCAGATTTTTTTGAATTCGCTATACCGCTCTTTGCTTAAGGAAACTACTTCTTATTATTTTGACATGACATAATATAAAGCTGTTTAAAGAGTAAAAGTGTATACGTTACACGTTCCCTTATGTACCTATGCAAGTACATACATATATATGTATGTGCTTACTCATTGTAATATTTGTATAAATGTACGTATGTATGTATGTACATCATATTGATTTACAAGTTCATTGTATGCATGCCTTTTTGCAAAGGTGTTATTTCTTTTTTTTATGTGTTTATGCTGTGTATATATGCA